GTCTTGTCTTTTTCACTTTTCTTGTTTGTTTCTTTTGTTCGCTTTATTTTTGTTTGTTTGTGTTTTATTTTTCTTTTGTTTTTCTTTTGTTTTCTTTTGTTTTATCTTTGTTTATTTTTGTTGTTTTTATTTTTGTCGTCATATTGTCTTTTATCTTATCAATACACTTTCTAACTTGGATTAATAAGCATATATTTAGTTTTAGTATTGTTCTATTGTTCAAACACATTCAAATATTCATCTTATACTCATATTCTTGTTAATTTATCATTGTTAACCATTCACTTTCGATATTTATATCTCTCTCTTATTTAAAATCTGTCATAAACACAGTCACTGTTAACCAATTCTAAATATTCTCATACGTAAGAACTAGAAATAGTAGCAATATTATATTAAATAATATATATTTATATTAAATTACAAGATAAGTAAATAAGTAAATAATTATATAAGTAAATAAGCAATTTTTTTGTGAATATTATTGATATAGTTTCAATTTAATAATTTTTTATAAAAAAAATATATATTTTAGTTTAGAAAAGTCAGTTAAATTCTTATAAAAATATTAATTATTCAAAAATAAACTCCTTTAATAATAATATATTTTTTTGAAATTAATATAATTTTTTTATTATTTTATTATTTAAGTTATAATTTTATATTAGTTTTGTTATAATCTTTTATATATTTATAATATTATATTAATAATATCTTATATATTATCATAATCAGACTCCTAATAGGTACTATTATAATATAAGTATTCAATCAATGTCTAACTTGATTTCTTCTTATATTTGATCTCAGTGATTTTAGTTATTCCAGAATTGCTGTACTGTATATTTTCTTTTATCTTTAAGTTATCACTATTACTAATAAATTATAATATTTACTCAGTGTGAGAACAGTTCTAAAACAATACAGTACTAATATTCTTTAGCAATTTTGATTGATATCCAATAGTATGTAATTAATGTAATTATTATAGTATAAGTTTATTTATTCAAATTAATTAATATACAATATTTTATTAACAATAAATAAAGGATAGTTTATTAACTAATTAGATTTTGTAGTATCAATTGATGATTTATTTGAGAGGTAAAACTCTTTATTATATAGCTAATTATTTTATCATGTATATTATAACATGTTACATCTTAATATAACATGTTGCAGAATATTACAACATGTTGCAGAATATTATTATATATTACTGAATATTACATCATGTTACTGAATATTACAATATATGACAAAATGTCATGTGAATTTTGTCATGTGAAAATAATAAAAGAATAAATTATAATAATAACAATAATAATGATAATAATAAATAATAACATTATTATTAATAATAATAATGATATAACAATATTTGTAATATTATATTTATAATTTGATCTCTTATATATTTGTGATTAAAGATGGTGCAGTAATTATTATAATATAGTGACAAATAAAGCATTACCTAGTTGTAACTAGTTATAACTTATAAAATTTTGAAGTTATAATATGTTGTAACAGGTGACAAATAAGCATTATATACTTATTGCGTTATCTCTATTTGTGATATCATATCATTAAAATAATTTAATAAATTGAATTTATAATATTTTACTTGTTTATAAACTATTATTATAATTATTATATTATATATATATTAAATTATAAGAAAATTTCTTAAGTTATTTTTTAGCTAATTAGTATTTAATAAATATATATTATCACTTTTAATTATTTATTTTATCTCTTCTATCTGACTTAAAACACATACTGAACATGTAAAAAAATATAATAAAGTAAAAATCAAGTAAAATATTGATAATATAAAAATCTATTAGATACTTTAATATTATTAAACTTGATTTTATTTAATATTAATTAATAAATAAAATTTTTAGAAAATGTTATTTCTTGAAATTTTGGCTATATTATATGTAATATAATGTGAAAAGTATTTTAATTATAAAATTATTAATAAATATCAAGTACAAAAATCAGTTACCAAAAAATTTTATTTTTTAAAAAAAAATCTATAAAATTATAAAAAATACAAAACTTTTAATGTATAATTATATATTTAAAAGTATAATTAATATATTGAATTAATAAATAATTGCTATCAAAAAGTATCACAATATATTATCAATAATATAAATAAATCCAATTTATTTTAAACAATAACTATATATTAATTTAATTAATTAAATTAATATTTAAAATTAATTTTTTATTTATAATATTTTTAGATATTAATAAAAAATATTTGATATAATAGTAAATAAAAATAATAAATTGGAAAATAATAAAATTTTCTGATATAAAAATATTATAAATATTTTTTTATTAAATTAAATTATTATTTAAATAATTTTAAAACTATACTTCTTTATTATTATTATATAATTAGTTTAGTACTAAAAGCTAAGAAATTTGAAATAATTTTTCAGTATTTTTAATTTATTTAATATTTTTATTAATTATTTTTTTAGACTAAAATTTATATAAAATTATAAATAATAGACAAAATTATCATAAAGTTATAGTTTTGTAATTAATAAAATAATATTTTTTATATAAATTATGTGACTTGCGGTACCCAATCAGAGAATTGCGATTTAATTATGATTAATTGCAACAGCCAATCAGAGAATTGTGACCAAGTTATAACCAATTGCGATCTCATCTTTATACATTATCAATAAAAAAATAAATAGATAATTATAAAGAAATTATAACTATATAAAAATTTTTTATATAGTATTATTAAATATTAGTTCTAAAGAAATATAACTATAAAAATCCTAAAATTTTTTTATATATCATTAATAGATATTGATTTTATGAAAAGTGTGCTTATAAAAAGATTTTTATATAATATAATTATATATAAGATAACTATAAAAAGGTCACGCAGATTAGCAGTAGATAACATTCATTTCGGACCCACTACCTATTTCATCCTATTCATAAACCCCCGAATATGCTATCATATGGATCAATTTTATTAATAAAAATAAAATAGCACACTTTGTGCTCCTCGATTAATCAAATATTACCAGTCCATTTAACAGTGGTGTTGTGGCCGCGAGCAATAGAAGAGATTTGCTCCAGATGGCTTTTGTTTTTGCAGAGATATGTCACTAAGCTTGCTAATACCTTGGAGAACTCATCAATACCAGATGTAGTCCACACACCTTTCCTAGTATCATTGGAATTTGATGGTCTACTCCAACTCCAGTTCTCTCAGTTCTTCTTGTCTGCTTCACAAAAACATATTCATGTTCTCGATGTTTATATTTTTCGAGAATGAGGAATATATTGATATATTAATTACTTATTAAACCCCCTACCCTACACGTGTCCATAGATTGATGTGGAAAGAACGTCTTTTAGGTCGCCGTATTTTCGGATCGTTTCTCCGGCAAATATAATCATTACTTGCTCGAACATATTTATGTCTGGACCATATCCTGTGACATCATTATAAAGATAATTTTATTAACTAAACGCATCGAAATACCTCTCTGACTTCAAGTCAAAAAGAGTGGTTAGATGCGCATAAATTTTAGTTTTAATTTAGGTGGTTGTAGATTAAGAGGCAGAATTTGACTACTCTAAATTGCCTCGCTATAGATAGCATTTAGATTATGAGGGTATCATCTTAAAAATATCGCCAGGCAATTTATTTGTAGAAGCATCAACTCAAAGTTCTTCATGAGTTGTTGATAGTAACACTGATCTTTTAATAGTTTCATTTTTTTTGAAGTACTGCTTAATACTAAGGATCCAATATTCTTCAAGACCTTTGGAAATTGCTATTTTAGCACTAGGAAACCGAAACGTGAGAAACTTTTGGATTTCATTTTTATAGTTATCAACCAAAAGATAGCCAGTTTTTTCGAATGATCTAAAATTAAATACGCTGCTAGGCTTAACGTTTAACTTTCCCGAGTAAAAGGTAAATTCCAATTCAGCCGAATAGCCACGTTCAATATTCCAAATTATGAATCCAACTATTTTCGTAACAAGCGAGTCTAGTTCTTGAGCGAGTATGTTATAGGCGTTAGCTTCGCAGCGTTGACTTTCTTCAAGAAATTCATCTCGTTTACTTTTTAAAATGTTGATTTGAAAAAAGTCGAACTCAGCTTGGATTTCATCACGTGTAGTACCATCCTTTAGTTCGGAAATATAAAGAAATTTTCCGGTGCGATAAAATTCCATAATATAATGGAATGCTTTGCCATTTCTATCGAAAAAATATTCGTTGCCGTTCGCTGGATGCAACATCGATGAATTGTGTTCTTGGAACATAGTTCCAAGCAAAGTGTCAGGATATGCTGTGAAAGTGCTTTTATACGTTTCATACTATTATTAAAATTATAATGACATAAAAAAATATTAGCGTTGGTGTTAAAGTAATTTGAATACATATACGTAGAACAAGCAAATTTTTTACCTTAACACCACCAACATTCAAAATAATTTTTTCTTCTTTAGACATTTTTAATAAAGAAGCTTAGAACTTTATAATGAATTATGTACGTAGCTTCTTTTCTTTTTTTGGGTAGACCACATGGAACAGATAGATCAACGCATAAAGATGGCGATCTGTCAAAAACAAAGATTTGGTGAATTGAAACAGGAAATGCTCAATGACGATAAGAAGCATTAATAAAACTCTAAAAATAAATGATAAAGATGCGAAAAGCGAAACGTCATCGAATCGAAGCTGATTTGTAAATAAAGAAATTTCAAACATGAAACACTTGAATCGATCCTGAAATGCAACAGTATTATCATAGTGTACGTGTATAAACTTTTTTTCTTTATGGATAACAAAAAATCTGATTGGACAACTTTTCATCTTTTTGCAATATTATTCTTACGCCGCTGAAATTCCATGGCATTTGTTTTTCTTATATCAAAGCCACATGAGTGACTCAACATTATTTTCATTCACGCTTTCATTTATCTTTACATAATACAATCAATACAATAGTTCGACCATTTCTCTTATTTATAGATTCTGTTTACAATAAAAAAAACAAGCACGACGTGTCACGTCGCGTGCTTCCGTAGTGTAAATCTCTTAGTATACGCATAAGATGTACAATGCTTTTCTTGGCACGGAAATATTTGGAAAGATCAAAATAAAAAATAAAGTTAATTAAATTAATTAATAATTATACGTAATATTGTGATCCCTCCCTATTCTTCAGTTTATTGATTAAGGTTCGTTTGTACATATTTTAGTTAGAAATCTTCTTCCCACGTAATGTATACAGACGGTAGAAGAATAAAGTGTAAATGCCTCAAGAATGATTTGTCTGTTTGAAACTAAATCAAAGATTATCAGTTTTCCCCTCAATGAAAATTACGGACGTGTAGTTATTATATTCATTGAGTATTGTAATAAGAAAATAAGAAAATTCTTTTTTAACACAAACGATAATAATTAATTCTTTTTTGGTGACACGTAATTTAACACCTACATGTAAATTATTTATTCATCGACCACACGAGCGCGCTGCATTCATGTAATATCCGTAGTACATATGCCGAGATATGTACAAAATCACATAAATCAGTTTCAATGCTATTGCCGTACTCGGAAGGCAAACATTGATTGACGAGAAAAAACGGAAGGTGACTAGCTTAAGTTTTTATTATGATTTTTCTAAATATTTATCCGTGAAGAGTTTCTATTTTAAGAACAAAGATCGAAATTTTGTTAGGCATTAATAAGTATTGTTAAAATAATAGATAATTTCCAAACATTAACAAATGGATAATAAAACTATTTTTATTTTCTCTGACTTTTAGGATTACCCCGCGGTTTGATTCATGGTCTCAACCATTGTTCTGATCTGAATTACTACTCGCTCGTTTAAACGTAACTACGTAGTTGCTAATTTTTGACTTTATGTCCGGTCCGGTTAATCATTAATCGTTTTTTCCGAAAATAAAATATAAAGGGCGCCAAAGTTTGTGTTGTTCCACACCACACTAGTGAATTGAACACACATGCTGTTGGCTGACTAGTTAATTGATTGATTGATTCGATTGATTTAATCGTCGTTTTTTTCTCTTTTCCTCCTCTCTCCCTTTACACTTTTTTTTTTAAAGCTGCAAGTCGGCCAAAAAATATCCATCAATTAGTAATACGTAACAAACAGATCGAATATATATATATATATATAAACTATAAAATGCTAGTTTAATAAACGGATACACAAATATATACGCATACATAAACACACTCTAACCAAACGTAGTGGGAAAAAAGCTTCAACTATTAAATTCTAATTATTCCTTTTTTTCAACCTCCTTTTTTTTTTTCTTTAATTAACTCACACTCACTTCAAACTTTCTGCTCCGATCAACAAATAAAAATTCCTCTATACCTTTACTCGCCTTGTATACAAACTCCCCACTACCACCACTTCTGCTGAATTTATCTCCGTATTCTTTTATCTCAGGAAGATAAGTAATACTATTGCTGTGACGAAACGAAAGAACATTATTCAAATAAAATAGCACAATAAAACAAAAAGAATGGCCACACAACTCGGTCGAGAGCAACCACAGGCTGCTCAAGTTCAACACCAGTCTTCTACCCATATGATGAAAACTACAAAGTCAGGAAGACCATTCGTCAAGGTTTGTTTGATTTTATGCGATTTTTTGTTATTTCACGAGAAAAGCATCATCGTCATTACTGATCTAACGATAATAAATGATTAATTATAGGATATTCATGATTTATTTTCCACGTTAATCGTGTCATTACCGATGGATAGTCATCGGCACATGTTTCGCAGTTATCCAAATACATTCACCACAGAAGAAGCTGTGTTGAATTTAAGTTCATTGAAATTCACACAATCGAATCGCATACCAGATCCCAAAGATCCATCAAGGATAATAACCACCACCACCACCACCACCTTTAGCATGACAAAAGATATGGCAAAAAGTGTGTGCCAGACATTTATGGATGCAAAATTATTCGAACATGCGACCGATTCAACGAATAGAACCTTTCGCGATAAAAATCTATATGCATTAACGCCAAAAGGAGTATATGTATTGGAGAAATTTATGAGCCGAAATGGAATTGTCGCGAATAATTTATCGAAAATGTTTGCATCGTATTCATCACCAATTCGATTATATTTTCTAGAAAGAAATCCCGACAATGATTCAATATTATTGAATAAATCTGCCATAGAGGCGGTATTTCGACGATTTCTTGGTCTATATCCAAATGACACAACATCCGGTAATAGTAACAATAATACTGAAGTGATATCCGACTCTTCCTCTAATTCCTCAAGTGAAAAAGGAGATCGTAATTTGGGAATTGAATTAAAAGAACGACAACAAAATCATAAAACGTATCGTCATACATTTTATGGATTATCCGCGCTGGATTGGTTATGTGATTTTAGCACTGCAATCGCTCGTGATGAAGCAAGCAAAATTGCCAATGAATTTTTACGCATAGGATTAATCGAACCAGTTCCAGAGAAAAAGTCAGAGAAACAACAGCATGAACAAAGATTTTCACGGAGTACTTTATATCAGGTGACTGATGAAGGTAGATACATAGCTGGATGGGAGTTCGATTTACAACAATCCAATCGTAATAATCATAGCAATAATGGATTACGTGGAATATTGAGCATGGCTAATTTAAATAAGGCCGCTGCTGACGCGTCAATGATTAGCAGTCATGGAACAACATTTACGACAAAATCACATAGTAAAGGCAAAAGCATCGACTCATTCCCGACATTAAAACAAGAGTCAAATACGAAAAGACTCCAGCAAATTCTCGAAGATTCAACGCTTTGCTCACTCCTCATGGAGTTTTTGAAAGCGAATTTCTGTGAAGAGAATTTAATATTTTTATTGGACGTAAAAAATTTTAAATCGAAATACGGGAATCAGCTGAACGAAACAGAACAGAAAAATTTAATTTCTGACGTTTTTCGAATTTATAATAATTACTTGGCACCCGTTTGTCCAATTGAACTTAATATCGAACATTCTCTGAAACAGCAGATTACACAATATATGACCTCGATTGAATCACATGATCAACAATCAACATCACCTGAACCTCCACCAATCACTGTTAATCTATACGATAAACTTGAGGATACAATCTTTCGATTATTGGCGTCGGATTCTATCCCAAGATTTATACGCACCGATAAATATCTAAATGCAGTGTGTGCAAGAAGAAGTACAGATGGAAGATTAAGTACAGATGGAAGATTAAGTACAGATGGAAGAAAAAGTACAGATGGCGCAAGTGCTGCGACATCAAGTTCACCTCCGAAAAATTCATCAAGATCAATTACACCCGAATCACGTAAACAAAATCGTCAACACTTAAAAGAACCATCAATAGAATCATTGGATGGCAGCATCACTACAAAATCATCACCATCAACATCATCATCATCATCATCATCACTTTCTTCCTCACCCAAAATTCCGGCTATTTCTTCGCCGAAGCTTAAACCTTCTATCGCTACTATTGTAACTCCTACAACTAATGGGATTGTACCGGTTTCTATTGTAAATGGAGAAACAATATGATATATATTATTTAGTTATTAGTTTGTACATTTTTAATATGTTTTAACCATTAATTATTAATCATATCATTAATCATCCACATATCACTCTTTTTTGTATTATTTCCCTTAATCCCGAACAAAATTCATTAATTTATTAAATCTATTTCTCTGAATCTAATTAATTAACTATCGTTATTATTTAATTTATCCTAATATTTAATACATTCTTATACTCCCCATAACCCTAATCCGATATCTGATAGTTTTCCACACACACTACCATATAAATTGTAAAATTTCATATTGATATATATTTAAATCACATAATACCGATAAAATATAATGGTAGCAATTATGTATTGTGGAAATGACTGCACATTCAAAATGATTATACATGTATACAGAAAAATAAGTAACATCTGATATGGGAAAAATATTTATCCTGCACGTGTGATTTTGTTCTTGTGTCAAATCAGACAATGGACAATTTTTTTGGTTTAGTCGATCGATGATTGTAAGTTAAAAATTAGCCATGATTCGCCACAAAAAGTACATATATCTCGGCCGCGAAACTAATATCATGTAAAATCTTTGTGGCGCGGTTACGATGAATTCCTTTTTCGGCAGCAGAATAACACGTTATTTAATTCTCCTTTTTAATGACCATAGGGCGGCTCGTTAGAATAGTTAATTTTCAAGAGACTCGCACCTTTTCGCTCTGTAGGTAACAACAAAGAATAACGGAAGACGATAATACTACTAGACTAAAACGTCACAGAAATGGCGACTACGTATACTCGTCCCCTGCAGCCCCAAAAGCGTGTGAAACTCGTATCAACTTGTGATAATTGTAAGACTCGCAAAGTGAGATGCGACAAAGTGCGTCCTTCTTGCGGTGCATGCACAAAGACCGCACGAAATTGTAGCTATGTGTATTCTGCACATTCACAAATGCTCCGAGAAAGTGGAGGTAACGGAGCAGCAGCGAACAGAGCACAACAAATGCAAGAAAAGCTAAACGAACTTCAAAGGACACAAGAACGTAAAATTGATCAAACACAGAATTTCATTTCAATGTTTATGCGAGGCTATGAAGCTGACGTGAATAACCAAGAAACGTTTCAGGGATTTTTCTTGAGACCAGAGTTGCAACCACTGCAGCAGCAGCAGGAGGTTTGTTTCCTATACATATAGTCTTTATCCTAAAATTATCTATTTACATATACAATAAATAAAAATGATATTACTTATAGAATCCGATTCCTATGAGTCAAGGACTAGCACAAGCTGTTTTACAGCATTCAACAGAGATTGCTTCGAAAATTCACAGAATTACTGAACAGTGTGAGGTTAGCATCATGACTATTCAAAACACTTTATTATATACCCAACTACTCTTTATATTCCTTGCCCAGCGACACATTATATCCGAAATTTCAAACAACAACAAAACTTTAATTGGAGCGGAACAAAAACGACATATGCATGCATGATGATTGAATTTTGATTAATTGATATAAGAAATTAATTTTTGATTCTCGATAGTACGATCCAAATTATTTTCTAAATTCCGCGGATTTCGCTGTCCTCGCACAACAGGTACCACCCGAATTATTGTCACAGCCACCATCCCAAGAAATAAATCAATCAATAGTTCCGAACGAACAATTGCGAATCCACGAACTCACCACCGCTTTCGAAGAATTAAACATTTATCAATCGACGAGGTATATTGGAGAAGGATCTTTGTTGTTGATAGGTGATGAGGATGATAATAAGGAAAAATTCATTCCGCAAGGTGAACAAGATCTATCGGCTGTTCGGGAATCACTTAAATATCTACCAGATCCTGAAACAGTTGATTATTTAATCTCATTGTATTATCAGGTTGTGTTCTTGTTATTTCTAGTATCGATCGATCATAGTATAATAGCATTAATATTTTATTAATTATATAACTCTTGATTTTAAATAATAGCATCTTCATCGATATACGCCTTTTCTTCGAAAGCAAGTGGTTCGCAATGCACTGCAAAATCTTTCAAAACCACAACACTTGCTCTTACTTAATTGCGTATTTTTCGCCGCATCGCCTTTCCACGAAGATCCAGCAAGAAAAGACGGGCGAGTTTATTTTGAACGTGCTGAAGGTATTTACCATAATTAATTACGATAGTTAGATAAAAGGATTCCTTTAATTAATAACAACCTAATGTTTCTGGATAGCCCTTCTGTTTGAATATTGTCGCACGCAACCACATGTTCTCACCGTTATCGCGACTGTTCTTTTGGGGCATCATAATAAACAGGTGTTGTTTTTTTTTTGATAAGATATAAGAATTTAATTATTCAAGTGAAAAAATTTCATCTTTACATGATTATCGTCATAATTAGCCGGTTGCAGGTTGGATGTATAACGGCATCGCCACTAAAATGTTGTTTGAACTTGGATTGCATCGTAAAATGAAAAATGTCAAGATAAAGCTGGTAAATGAAGTAGCACGATTGAGAAATGAAGCCTTTTGGATAACATTTATTTCCGAAAAGTAAATATCAACAATAATCATGTTTATTTTTATAAGCGGGAAAACAATCGATTAACAAGTCTTACCCCTCCCCCCCAAAAAAACACCAAATAGTTTCATATCAGCTGCCTATGGCCGACCAAACATGATAGAAGAGAATGATTGTGACGTTGATGAGTTGGAATTACCGGATGATCTAAATCCACCTGATGAAGATTCTCGATTATATATTGCTTTTGTCTATTGTGCAATGCTCAATAGAATCTGTGTTAAAGTGCGTAAATATATGCACAACGCGTCACGGATGAAGTTGATACAAGAAGATGAAAATAAATTTAGATTATTGGATGCTCAACTTGGAAATTGGTTCCAAGGGCTCCCACAATGGCTTACTTTCACTGAAATGTCGAAGGATCTCAATGGAAGTTTGTTGAATGGCATTGGAGGTATTTATTTTCTATATACATGACTATTCATTGATTTTTGTTAATTAACGTGATTTAAATTTTTTAGGTGACCTGCATCTCTTTTTCTATACCGTTCTTATACTTCTCCATAGTCGACACCTTAAAACTCAGGGTGGTGCATATTCAGAGTATACAATTTATCCACCGAACGCACCTGTGACATGCACCCAAGCAGCAAAAATTATCGTTACTTGGCTTGACATCTTATTATCAAATGTCCCGGAATTTTTCGCACATAGTATCTGTGGACCATTTGCCATAAATCCAGCAATGAGAGTATTTCGTTGGAATGCGCAGCATGGACCAGATGCTAATGATCCACGCGCTGCAGAAGTAAATCAAAAAATGGTAGAGAATCTCGAAACTATTAAAGTACGAGTTGCTGAGATTTCACGTAAATATGATAGAGGACGAGAGAATGGAGACAACCAAAATAGCTCATATAGTTCGACATTCATGTGGTTGGGCAATCCCGATTCTGGAAATGTTGAGGAGGGATTTGATATTGGTCAACGTGAAGGTGAAGTATATATCGCTGACAATGATTCAGAATTGAGAAGTCAATACCGAAAAATTACTTGGAAGACAACAGGATCTTCTTTCGGGAGGAGAAGATCAACACGCGGAAGCTCAATTGGTGGAGGAAGTCGACAAATGAGTTGGACCTCAATATCAGGATCAAGTCAAAATCGACAGATGAGTTGGACATCAAATGCTGGTCCAAGTCGGAGGATGAGTAGTTACTCGTCAACAAAATGTTATGCTAATGGTGGTGTTAATCGATGGTATACAATGCAATCAGGGCCACTCAACGAAGAACCTCAAAGTTTCACTGATGAAGATTTGAATTTCACGTTTCTCACTGATAAGAAAATTGAATTTTCTTCTTATGATCAACAACAATCACCTGATATAGTTGAAGTGGAAGAAAGACAAAAAAGGGAACAAGAATTATTTGAACCTGATGACTCATCAACCTCATCCAATTACATTTCCCCACAATTATCATCATCAACTTATAGTAGTCCATTATTATTGGACAGAGATTCAATTATATCATCTCCATCAAGTGCTGCAACTACCACTAATACCGAAAGAACTGTACGACCACATGAAATAGAAAAAAATCAAAGTCAAGCTTCAGGTGATTTACAGCAACAGTTAACATCACAACCACCACTAATACAACAATCAGAACAGGGAGGAACTCAACAACAACAATATTATGACTTTTCATATGGTTCACTCCCTATGACACCACCACATCAAAATCATACCAATGACGATGATAATAGCAATAATATAATTAATAGGAACATTCGTAATTGTAATAATAACAATAACAATAGTAGTAATAACAACCACCATAACAATAATAACAACAATAATAATAACGATAACGTTAACACTAACATTAGCAATAATAATGGTGAAAATGATCGACTGGATTCAGTAATATGGTCACCACCTGTGCAAATACGAAATCCATTACGAACTACATCTAATTCTTCGTCTACTTCAGTGATGCCTACTCCACCATTAGGTCCGAACGATGAGGAATTATTTGGACCATCACTGGACGATTTCGCCGATGACGGATTTTGGGATGTCCTAAAGAATGCGGGTGGTCTCCATGACGATGATCTACTTTCACATTGAATAACAATAACAATGGAATTATTGATGGTGGTGGTTCTAGTGGAAATCAGTAAACAAACATCGCAAGTTTGTATTAGAGTAGTAAATATAGTTTGTAGCTATATCTTTATATTAATTAGAAGAAATTGTGACGTAAGCGATTTTGTATTTAACATATTTATTTTCGACTTTACTTCAATTTTTGAAATAAAAATCTTATTTATTCAATATAAATAATTTTTTTATTAAATTGAATTCAAACAATTTGAACAGATGACTAATAGAAAAGCCAAGAGAAATAAAATTTAATCAGTTTGCTAGTTTACAAAGTCCAAGCAATCCATTGGTCTTTTATATAGCTTGACTAACTAGTTTATGAGTTTTGATTGAAGGAGAAAAAAACAATATTTTCGATATTAAAGTTCAATTTGATTTTTCAAATTAAAAAAACTTCTATTTATCACATAATAAGTGTGTCTTGAAAAATTAATGATAATTTTTTTTAATATAAACTAATTTTTACTAACATTCCCTCCATTTCCCTCATTGAATTAAGTTTTTTAGAAACTCGATATAACGAAATTTAATTATACTTTTTAAATTTTATTTGTTTTAAGCATGTTTTTTTTGGTTTATTATTATAATTTTATATTTATTAATAAACTTACATGCATGATTTTATAATTTTGAATTACTGTCAATTTCGTGAAAAAATAGAATTCTTTTTTAGAATTTTTTAATTTTTCAAAACTCAAAATTTTTTAGAAAATTTAACTTAATAAAAACTTTAATATCAATTTCAACCTGTTTTTATTAGATCAAATATTTCAAAATATTTTTAAAATAATAATATTAAATCTGAAAAAAATTCTAATATAAAGTATAAAAAAATATTTTAGAATATTTAATTATTTTAATTTATTAAATTAAATATAAAAAATAATTTAAAATTTAATTTTTGTTAGATTAAATATAGAAAATAATTTAAAATATTTAAAATATTAAATTTTATTTTTTTTATTAGAAATTTGTCAAATTAAATATAAAAATTCTTGCTAAAATTTTTTAGTAATTACTGAAATTTTGTTAAAATTATAATAAATAATTAGTAAATAAAATTTTGCTAAAATTCTAATTAATAATTAGAATAAAATTTACTAAAATAATTTTGGAAAATTTTAGCAAATATTTTTAGTTAAATATAAAAAATAGTTCAAAATATCAATTTTGTTTTGATTTTTATTAGCTTTTATTAGATCAAATATAAAAAATAATTTAGAATATACATATTTTTTTTATATTTAGTAATTTTAATATTAATATAATTTTTAATTAATATAATCATTCAATTAATTACTAATTACTAATTAATAAGTAATACTTTATTCATTTAATTATTATAAAAAAAGATAAAATTAATTTTATTATATATATATAGTAACAATCAAAAATAATACAATAACATTAAAATTTATTAATTAAATATAGTAAAATACAAATTTTTCTCTTTATATAAAAGTTTTCAATTCTATTAATAAATATTTTTTATTTTTATATTAAAATAAAAATAATATTACATGTATTTTTTCAAATTTTTTAAATTTAATCTAATAAAGCTATTCTAATTGTATATAAACACAATTATTTTTTTATAATAAAAAAACATATAAAAAAATAATTGACTTTATATGTAATTAAAATAGCTTTATCAAATTAAATTTGAAAAATTTGAAAAAATATATATAATATTATTTTATTTTAATATAAAAATAAAAAATATTTTTATTTCTGATTACTACTATATATATATTTGTATATTTTCATATTTGATAATTTTAGTATTGTTACTATTTCTAGTTTTTACATATAAAAATATTTAGAAATAACTAATAGTAATTATATTTATAACAGATTTTAAATAAAAAAATATAAATAATAATAGTAGATAGTTGATAATAATAAATTAGTGAGAATATAAATATAAGATAAATATTGAATATATTTGATAATAAATTAATAATACTAAAATAAAATATATACTATAAATTAAAGTTAAAGTATATTATAAAAAACAAAAGATAAATAAAAATAAAATAAAAGTAAAATAAAGATAAAACAAAAAAAAATAAAAAAACAAAAAACAAAATAAACAAATATAAAACAAATAAAAAATAAGGAAACAAAAAAAATAAGATAAAAGTTAAAACCAGAACATAATCTTTTTAATTTATTTCAAGTCAAATTCATATTATATATATATATATATATAGCAAATTGAGTTATACTAATCTTTATACTATTTATATATATAATTTATAAAAAGAAATTAATAAAAATATAAATTTAAAACATGCTAATATATAATAATTATTATATTATATTAAAATAAAATTTGTGTAAATTTATATATTAATTAAATTGAGATAAAAATAAAATACAATCAGATTTAAAATATAAAATATAAAATAATGCTACAGTTACTTTAAATAAAGGATTTCTTCACTATTAGTAAAGAGTCATATGAGTTGGGAGAGAGGGATAGACTAATAAAATTGATCAGTGCAAAAATAAGTATCTAAGCCTGTGCCAATTTCAACAGAAATTGTTAAACAATT